TCATGAAACCGTCCCTATCTGTATTTATCTAAAAAAGCTTGCTTTTATGCAAAATTTACTGATCTACACTAGAATTTTGTAGCAAATAATCAGCTTTTCTTCGAAAAATAGAGTTAAGTTTTTAACAGGATCATCAGGAAAGTAATGGGTTCAATGCAAGATATCTTTAGATGCCCTGTCACTATTCCTGAAATAGTTCCACAATTTTAAATTGCTATGTAGCCAAAATTTGGGTGATTCTGTTTATCTTAGCTATTTACAAGGCCTCCACTGCTGATTATATGGAACTATCCTTGGTAGATTACCCCAAGAGACTGCTCTTTTCGGGTGACTTGCATTTTTGAGGACGTATCTCATTGTCGTTAATGCCTAAAGCTCTTATTTCAATACTATATTGATGCGATCAGATTGGATTTCTTGAAAATATATTGCTTCAAAATTTTGAGTTATGTGAGTTTTTACTAACCAGATAAGTGCAACTCTTTAATTCTTCCTATCTTCATTTTCGAGATGATTTTATCTGCGATTATGATTTCCTCTTTGAATTAACTCGGTGTACATCTTTCACAATTTTAACACTTCTTTGAATTCACTCTATTTCTGAAATTTCTATTCATATTTAATGCAAACACGAAGGTATTAACAAAATCAGTTTATAAGGCCTTCCTCACTTCTGGATGCCAAAGGAGTGATTATCGGATTATGGGTTAATTTTGTTATTGGGTGTGATCCACAGAATTTTGATAGGCACATAAATCCTAATTTAGTACTTATTTATTGTTTTTAACTTCGCGTTCATTTTAGTTTTTTTTTTTTAGTTGAAGTTCCACACTTGCTAACACGGAGGTTAGTGATACACCGATTGTAAATGCACTTTTACACAGCTGGGCGGTATGCTTGACGAAGAATTGAGTGAATACCATATGATATTTTAGTGTAATTGGCACAAAAGTCAAGTTCCGCCTTTCAAAGTTGCCAGCCTTGAAGTAATCTCTGTTGATCTTTTCCTAGTGACCTATCACAAATTTTATTGCAAGTTAAACATTTTTCATATTGGTAGGATAAACTAATAATATTAGTGTTTTTCTGTAAATTCTTCATCTCTGACAGATTCATATATGTTTCTGGATGATCCGTAATTAACTGCAGGTTGTTATTGGTGTTGAGAGAGATACGGAGGAACTGTTGGTGTATCGGGAGATGATCGATTGAAAGATGCTTTTAATTTTTAATTTTGCCACAACTTGCACTATTATTATTATCTCTCTATAGATGCTTTCTGTTCATATCGAAATTTCTCTCATTAGTTTTCCTATTCGTTGTTTCTTTCTTCGTCGTGATAACATCAGCATTGGTTTGTAATGACTCAATATCCATTGTTGAGATTCAGCTTAATATTCATTGTTGAGCAAAATCTCGCTAGTTTTTTTTTTTTCCAAGACAAAATTTATGTTTGTTTCAAGTTCTTTAGTAATTTATGCCCGATATTCAGTTGAGTTATAGGGACTTGTTTTCATTGTCAATTTTGATATACAGATAATAAACGTTTGGTGATAATGCGCAATAAGGCTTAACTAAGCTGAGTCATCTCTCCGTGCTCGTGCAGAAACAAACTGGAGAATGGAGCTTTTTTGCCAGTTATATTACCGGCAAATGTCCAGAAAATCCATTCTTTCCCGTTTTATCAGCACAGCTTTTTCAAAATATTTTGACTAGCACATTTAGTGGATTTATTTTTCTAAAATGGAGTGAAGTTTTTGGATGACCTTTGTTACGACTCTACGTCCAGTTATTTTATCAACAGCAGGCTGCTTTTTGTGCAAAATTTCAGTTACTACTTTGGTTTGAACAAAAAAAAGGATCATTTCGACATCAAACAAAATTGCAAAGTGAAATTTGTCTTAAAAAATTTTTCTCAGGAAATTTTATTTTATTTATTTTGATTATTTGAATCATATATCGTATTATATAATATGAAAGACAGCGAAGTGGTAGTTGATAAAAAGATGAAAATAACACTTAAACCTTAGTACAAGAGATTATTGAGAAAGAAATATGTAGTTTTCGATCTCATCAAGAGCAGGTGACAAGTGAAACGGTACCATGCAGTGCTGATGCTGATATCATGATAAAATTAGGCAACAGGGAAGGAATGAAAGGAGGTTGGAGTGGAAGCGCTGGGAAAAAGGGAGAAGAGGCCACTTTCCATATCTGCAACAAAATATTCATCAATCATTATCCAAGTCGATTAATTACCTCTAGATGGACTATATTACCTGCTGAGTACTGATGTACGTATATTTTTGATTTCTAATTCTCTCAAAAACAATTTTCATTTTGCTCATTTTTCGATTTCGTTTGGAGCGAAATTTCTGTGGAACAACAATGATCTCCAGTGATAGCAAACCGGTTGTTCATTTTTCGGCCAAATATCCCCAAATTCCATGTTTTACTTTTCTCTTTCACAAAACTCTTGAAATCTTCATTCACGACAAGTTTGGGCGACAAGTTGCGTCATTAGATCAAATTTCAAATCTAATGACAAATAGTCTTATAATATCACACAAGATAATAGCCCCTTTCTTTGAAATTGAAAGTAAATTTTTAAAAAATAATTTTACTTAATTTTTCGAACTTTGAGTTTTTTATTGAGAATTACAACAAATAATGTATGGGAAATTATTCGATGATTAGAAAATGGCTAATGTTACCTGGAATTATTAATGAATGCAGAGTGGTGTGAAGAAAGCAAAGGTATGTGATGACAAATGAAATTATTCCATGTCTAAAGGGGATCAAAATACCACTACTACTCTTCTGTCAATGTTGCTGCTACCAATATTATGAAGGAGGTTGCATTATGATATCACTACTTTTACTGTAGCAAGCAGCGCTAATTTCGAAATCAAAGACAGTAACTGCTCTTTCTGATCGCTGACCGCAGTCAAAATAATTTTTTCCATCGCAGAGTTAAAATTAAAATTGTTGCAGCAAAGAAAGAGTATAGTGATAAGCTGAAAAGTGTGACTGCGCTAGATAAGTGATTATTCATTTATTTCAAATGGTTTCAATATTCAAATGATTAAATTGGGATACCGCGTCAACCCTCCCCCCTCTTGTCATATTCTCTTTTGTTTTATTTTTTCTATTTTAAGCTGGTGCTTCTATTTCATAACTTTCTTGTTAATTTGCAATTTTACTGACGTTAGTGTTAGATGTACAATCTTGCCTTCCTATTACATTTTTATCAGCCAATCAGTCAGTCAGTCAGTGAATTTGTCAGAGAGAGAAAAGGTAATTATGAATTAGAAGAGAAAAAAGAATAAATATTTATCATATTGGAATAGAACAAAAAATATTGAAAGTGAGCATGTGTCCTACACTACGATGAACTTTGATAGTTATAGCCATTTGTCAATATCACAACAAATGACGAAAGTGATTCCCGTTCTCTTATCTTTTCTAATCATCAAAAAAATAAGAATTCTTGTAATGAAATGAAAATTTTAAGAACAGCAAAAAATAACATTGAGACTTTATTCTCCAATTCTTCTCATGTAGCTTCAAAGAGGCCGCGTTTCGAATATTCGTCTCTAATTCTGAACTCTATTTGACCTTAATGACTTGAAGTCATCACACCAATTGTTCTTCAATTTTAAAGATTGACAGTTTTTTTCTATTTTACGTTGCTCAGATTCTTAATAACAACTTCTTATAAAAGAAGTGACGAAATCAATTTTTTAAAACCGTACATATCAATTTAAATGATTGGGTTTAGATTATATATCCAACACCATGTAAAAGTTTTATAGAATCATTGATTTCCTCCAATCGATCATTCGAAAATAAACAAGCGTACGCCTTTGACAGTACTAAAAACAGTGGCTAACGGAAAAGGTAATCTGAAATCGTGATAAAAGGAAAAAGAAGACCAGCCAAGAGAGGAAATGGATAGATGAGGGGTAAAATGGCAATAACATACGAGATCAGGAGAGAAAGTGGAATCCTTCAGATTTTAGTTGCCGTTAAAATGTGCTATGTTGTCTCGCAATTTGCCTTGTTATCCATAGTCTTTAAGACAAGCGTAATTCAGGAATCGGATCTCATTACTGAAGTCTCCTCGAAATAACCTAATACAGATACTCCTAGGTTGTAATCGTACACAGTTACACAGAGTATAGTAATGAAAACTCTCCTCGAAATAACCTAATACAGATACTCCTAGGTTGTAATCGTACACAGTTACATAGAGTATAGTAATGAAAACCTGCGAGAACTCAATGATTTCGAATCTTTTCTTTTTATTTCATAAAATATTTGAAATTACATAGTGCTCATAGATAATGGAAATATTTATGCTAGGAAAAATTATGATTCAGCGGTATTCGTTATCAAGATCTCGATGGTATTGATTGTGCCTTTACCGCCTCTAAGTTATCAACAGAAGAAAAAATTTCTACCGGAATGATTTTTGGGCAAAAATTTGCTAATGCGAAGTAATACACATCTTCTTGGTCTTTTATCGATGACAAAATGGCATAGTTGTAATCACTGATGGAACTCCGACCCTGTTTACCAGAATTTCCTTGTTTTATACTTTTATTAATAATATTGTTGAACAAAGATATGTATAAATCAAATAATTCCATTCCTTACGATTGACTTAAAATGTTCCTTTTCCCAATCACAATTTTACGCAAAATATTTCATTTGTTTTCTTCCGTTTATGCGTTAGCTCTTTTTTTGTTTTATTTTAAAACCAGTTCTGTTTGGTATTGCATTCATGTCATTTGCTTCATAGTTTTATTGGTACTTTTTAAAAGTAGAAACGAACAGTTTAACAGAGAGAAATGTAAGTACTTCTAATTAGAAATAAAATATGTATTTTAAATAAGTTTCCCTGATGTACTATTAAAGTGTGACGTGGCATTTCCCTTGAATCTATAATTAGAGAGTGCATACTTTGAGTAGTGCTATAATCACGACTAATAATGTTCTTTTTCTTTTTTCTAGAAAATTTTAAAAGCATAATCGAGTTTAATTACAGAACTCCAAAAAATTTATTTGTTCTTACCATACCATGCGGGAAAAAGTAATTAGGGTGATAATTTTTTAATTTGCATATTTGGTTGCAAAGCTAAGCTAGAGATCTCATGTGGAAAATGGAATACAACAAAAAAAAAATTGATTTTAGAAGAATAATATTTCAGATTTTTTTTTTCAAAGAAAATAATGTTTCAAGAAAATATTATTATAATATGATTCCAACAATATTTCGAAAAAATTTTTTTCTACATGCCAAAATTTTGCCTTTTTAAAGCTAAAATCCAAAGTATTATCCCTTCCCTTTTGAAATATTTTTTTCCTTTTCCCGCGAATAGTCAGATTTTCATCTTCCAGAAAATCTTTTATTTGCTTGGCAAGTTCCGATAATGATTTATCTCTTTCTTTATTTTTTCTAGTTCCGAAAATCCTCTCACATTTTCATAATATTTCGCAATATTTGCTTTCTTTTTCTCATAGAAAGGAATGAATAGCAAGTATTCTGTATTTTAACGTGTACTTGCTAGTTCTATGCTTACATTTGTTATTCTATAGTTCACACATTTCCAATCGTAACTGTTATTATCCTCAAAAGAAGTTTTCATTTTATTGCTTTCTAATTATCTCTTTGTTTAGTAAAATCATACTTTCCGCTTTGTTTTCTCTGTCAAGAATGACAAAAGCGAATTTTTTGAACATTTCATTCAATACTAACTCACCAAAATCAAAAAACTCTTATCTAAAGCCTTTCGTTTCAACTTTAAATTTGTCACCTTCAGTATATCAGCCCAACTGATCATTTAAGAAATGTCATCTTTTATTGAAACCCACTGAATATCCAACGTTTGTTTAACTTAGAAATATTCAATCAAATTTTTCTCAGCAAAATTGTCTAAATTAAGTATACAAGATAAGAATGGATGATGAGGAATGAACAGCAAGTATTGACTCCAAATGAAGCATTTTTCGAGGTCATTCCTTTCAACATATGTGAAAAGCTACTCGATGATAATGGTTAAAAGTAAGTTTGACTTGCTAAACCAGTATCATTCCCTTTAATTTCTTTTGTCAAACTTAATTTCATAATTAAAAAATAGCCTTCATTAAAATTCTTTAAGAATCCTTCAACAAAGAATGAATGAATTTTTTTTTCTTTTTTTTTGGGGGTGCTGTGCAAACATAAACGCCTTGTATCATTATTTCAAATATTTAAAGTAAGACTTGTGAAAATTCATTTACTGAAAGATTTGATTAAGTGATTAAGCTTTTCATAAGAATTGTTTATTTGAAGTGAAAAATTTTAAAGCAGATTTTAGATTATTCAATAAGCTTTATTTCTGACTCATCAGATTGAATTCAATTGTAAAAAGTTGTTCCTCTTTCGTTGCGGATGAAAAATGCATTTCACAAGAAATCCAGGAATCCAATGTGATTTAATTCTTACGGAAATTTGGTCTAAATTTAAACCATCAACGAGTTACTAATCATTATAAATCAAAAAAATTATTTAAATTTTGTAAAACGTAGCATTAACGAACTTTTCTTAAGAGAGTTGAGTTTTGGTGCCATACAAAAAATTGTAATTGAACTGGACGACATGTTATAAAATTTAAAATTTCTTTATAAGAGGCAAGTTTCGTCGGAAGAAATATGTGTAGTGTGAGCAGAAAACAGGTTATGAGAATTTTACAAATATAATTTGTTTGGTTTTAAATGTGTTGACTGTTTTCGGCTGTTCTTTTATTTTCATCGTTTATCTGAATGCCTTTGCAATGCTAGTTTCATTTCATCATCCAATTATTTCTTGAAATGATATAATAAAGTTGCAACTATCAATCCGGTCTCTTTTTTTAATTTTTTGAAAAACTAAATTCAAAATTATCAGCAGAAATTTGAATTTTACCACTATGGTGAATTTTTTTGCAACTACTGCATTCCATTTCTAAATGCATTTGAATAAATGAAAGGAAAAGAAACATGCAATGAATTGATGTTTAATTAGTTCCACAAACTCTGATCTAGATTTCATAATCAAACAAAGTTTTCTATGAAATTCAGAAACAGATTAGTTCATTAATAGATTTGAAAAGCAAACAATACTTCAATCTTCTCAAGGTAAAACATAAAACCGTCGAACGGATTAAAACAGGAGCACGGAAAGTTAACTGAACAGATAGTTTCAATTTCGAAAAACTCTACTGTAATGTAATTATTCATTGTTTGATGGAAAAGATTTTCATATTTCATTTTGTTTCGTTTTGAATTTTATCTTTTATTTTCAATTTTCTAAAAATTGCAAGTTTATAATTCCAATTCATCTGTCCAGTACAGCTTCTGTATGCATTTTGTATTTTGCGAATATTTCATTACTGTAAAAAAAAAAATTAAACTGAAGATATGTTCTTTCTATATTTAACCTTCACTTTAGAGATTGTGGTGCTTTTTGACTTGTATCTTTAACTTCATATTTTATGGTACGTTGATTGTGAAAGATTGGATATTATCCTTGTAAGTGAGCAAAGAATGGGAAAAATTGTGACAGAATATTTTGCATATTTATTTGCTATTTTCATATAATTTTCTCAAATTATTTCATTCAGACAAACCATTATATATGGCAATGTGTTGCTGAAGACATTATTCTTGTTGTTAGTTTTTTTTTTTCTTTTGATGTTAAAAATAAATTTAATAATTTGAAGGAGAACAGTTAAAAGATCATTCTAAATATATTGTTATCAATTGTGTGCTTCTCTGATATTTGGTGAAAATTTTCGAGGTGATGAAGCATCAGTGATGGACTAATAGTGTTAGATCGTGATATGTATGAAATTTTTTTCAAAATCTTGGTCTATGGAAGTTTGTTACTTCACACGGCGATGTTTGTTGATAAAATTACTTAAGTTCTAAGCTAGTAAACTTTCAATTTCTCATTTACCTGTAATATGTTTCTAACATTTCATTTATTCTAAAACAAATGAACATGTGACTTCCTATGATGCCTTTTCAAATTTTTTCAGATCTTTAAAAGTGCTTTACAATAGCCGTAGATTTTCAGAGTCAGAAATAATTTGTAAGCACAGCACTGATATTAGATATTCGTAAATGAATCATCACGAATCTCTTTCAAAAAAATCAACTTTTTTTGATTCAGAATGGGGTGCTGTGAAATAGAGCCTGCGAAAGTTGTCTTGTTTTTGAACTTGTTCATTGTAGCTTTTACGTATTTCTTTTACTGTTCTCAAACTTTTTTTTCTGCTAATGAAACAAAATTGGTAAACTGGTGATTCATCAAAGTTCATTTTAAAGTTGCCTGCGTATATCGAAATATTTGCGGTTTTCGGATTCTGTAGTTTTTTGAAGGTTTTTCAAGTTTTTCGAAATTTTATTTGAAAATTTCCAAGTCTGACAATACTGGAACTGGAATTCCATTGGATAATTAATTAGCTCTGAGAAATAATTAATTTGGTGTGTCGCAAATAAACTAGTGTTGCAACTGCTGCACTTATCTGCTATAATCGCATTCGCAATCCCTCGTTCCATTTTGCATTTATAATTCATTTTGCGCTTTCCATACAGTTTCGATGTTCTGAAAAAGTTGAAAGAGTTTCCGTAGCTTGTGGTTTTTACTAAGTTTTTTTTCTTTTGTTGTTGTTCAACGAGTTTGCTTACCCTCAGGAAATATGATGTTATTATTTTTGGAGTAGTGGTAACAGTAATGAATAGTTGGAAAGCAAAATGTATAAAGAGAAGAAGGAAATTTGCACTCTTTCCATTTCTACTTTCAGCTCAATGCGATGAAATAAGCGAAAAGTCAACCATGAAAATAATTTAATTTCAGATAGATTCTAACAATTGAGTGAAAAGGTTTCGACAAAAAAATGTAACTCCTTTCTTTTCCGGAAAATTTTCCACGTGTTCACTTCAGTTATAAATCTTCCGTTTTTTGTCCAGTTAACTTGAAGAAGAGGCAGAAAAGATAATAGAAAAATGTATATAAGAGAGAATACTGGCTGCTGCACCCCTCCGAGTGTCACATGCCTGGAGGGTGGAGGTAATATCTCAAGTATCCACTTCTAGAAAATACGTTTGTCTCCTTTCCCAACTAATGAGCGACAAAACTTGTTCTCCTTATAATTTAATAGCAGTTGTGATAGCAAAAGCGACAAAACAAGATATGATGTTCTTTTCCATTGCAGACAGTAAAACTGCGGAAGACAAGTTCGGTTCATTTCTCGATAAAATAGGTAGAGCAGTCGGTAGGGAAGGGAAATGATAGGTTGCTACCGGATCTCCGGCACTTCAAATGCATTCCCCATCATTTCAGGATGTCGATTCATTAATAATTGAGATCTAACACATCTCTATTTGTTTAATTCATTTAACAGGGGACAGCTCCACAAAATTTCATTCCATCGATTTTATTTAATTTTCTTCAATTCATAATATAATTGTCACGGATACGACTATTTTCTTAAATTTTTAATTCCATTTTTTCGGAATTTTTTATCATTTTCCAATAAATTAATTTGTCATTGTTCTTTTTGTGAATTTAGGAAAGGTAGCGAAAAGCTAGTTATTTACACTGTTCCGAGAAAAATAATGAAAGAGGCACAATGAATTCGAATGGCACAATGAAAATTGTCATTTTAATGGTCCTGATAAAATATTAAGACAATCACAATATATATCAGAGCTCTTTGATCTATTTATGAGGGATCGGAGAGATTGGTATTTTGTTGAGCAAGCTTCTGATTCACTTCAAAAGCGGAATCATTTGTAGGAAGAATCGGAATCATGTATGTTTCGATGTTATCACTCTATCTATCAGCACTCAACGCGATAGACAATCAACCTATTTTGCATCAAACGCAATTAACCGGTAGAAATGTGAGGATGATGAATCGCTGTGGTACATAATAGTTGTAATTTTTAAATTGAATTGTTCTTATGACAATTTAATTAGTAACGAGATCGAAAAGCTGCGTCTCTTTTTGGTAGATTTTTAGGATAAATTCCATCGAATTGAGATATGTTGTTTATCATTTCAGTGGGACTGTAAACATAGCTGCGTGAAACTTATTTATTTACTTGTTTCCAGAAAGAAAGGTTAGTACCGTAAGTCGCTTGCATATGCATAAATGAAGAAGTGGAGTACTGAAAAACATTTCTTTGTACAGTTGACAGTTGCGCTAATATAACGGATTAGTGGCTAAGTGATGTATATATTATAAAATATCAGTTCTCATTCTGTATGCTTCACATCTAACCTTCAAAATAGCTGACGAAATCATTTTTTTTATCGGTTCAATCCAATTTCGTTCATATCGCTTGCCACAAATAGTACTCCGAAAAATTTGGATTCTTTTCTTATACTCTTAATCTTTATGCTTGTAATTTCACTAAGAAAAAGATGATGATAACAGGAAATAAAAATTAACCGTCTGCCTATTATATTCTTGGTTGCAAACTTGTCCTGCTAGATATCCACGATTGAATCGTTGAAGATTCTGTAGATTTATCCTAAATTGATGAATTGATGAACAGAATTACTTATTTCCTGTCATATTAAGCTTCCCCGATTTAGTGAAAAATTTTGAGAACTGTATCTCATAAAACTTCAATAGCGTCTGATATTTGTCGTTCCTTATCACGACATATTTATCTGATAAAGATTTATGGATGTCTTTCTTTTATCTCCCATTAATTCCTTACGATTTTAAATTCAGCAATTATTATTATTCCTTTGCTTCATAAATTTATTTATAAATGAATAGCAACAAATTCATTCTGCCATAGTTAACTGGATAAATGATAAGGTATATTTGATTGAGGATATAACAGAGAGGTAGGAAGAACAAGTAAGGCAAGAACCAGTTATAAATTATCCTCCTTAAATTTCTCCTCTCCTCTTCCGCCACTTTGTCAAAAATGTTTGTTTTGCTTGATCATATATAATCATTTTAACTAAAACCAACCAGTACCATCTATGGCTTAAAACTTTCCGTCACATTGATCTTCTAAGCTTACCTTAGTAATCTTAAATTTGAAATAGCAATTCAGGTTGAGATTTACTGAGATGAGTGTGGTTGTTATCTTGCTTCATATTCAATCACATCCTTCAAACCACTAGCTCTATTACAAGAAACTGATTTTTTGTTCAATTTAATTAACTGCTATGTAGTTTGCCCCTATCTACTTTTTCATTCAACGATTCGTTGTATTAAACGTCGCCATCTTTCGTAATCTGTTTCTATCTCAGGCAAGCTACTTTGATCTCTTCCTTTTCCAGTTTAAATTCCTACTTGTTGTGTAGCATCAAATGATGCCCTTCCATAAAACATTAGAAATTCAGATTTCAATGCTTAATGCTTATTAGGAACTCTTAGTAACTACTTTAATTCCAACCATACAGTGGAAAGTTTGAAAAACAAAATTACTGAAGAAGTTCGTGAATTCAGTGGTATATCCCAATGATTCCCTTGTGAAACATAATTTACTGATTAGTTCAATAAATCAGATTGTTTGTTACTAATTCACTATCCCTAACAAGATTCGAGAATTCGAGTCCACACTTTCACAATTTCTTGAGACATCACTTTGTGTTACGCTCAAATTTATTAGTAAAAGGTTACCTAGTTTCAAACAAAATTTGATGTATTGCGCCCAGGGGCGCTGGTGGTTCTTTTAAATGTGCAATACATTTACTTCTGTGGAAGCAATGTTATACAAAGCCTCTTTCTTGTGAAGAAAAGTATGTACAAGTTCATATGATACAACTAATGATTTTCATTTTTTTTCTATTTTGCCAGGATTGTTTCTTTTACATAAGCAGAAAACAACTTTACAACTTATTTAATTAGGCTGAGAGCCTAATTAAATTCCAATTAGGTACGATATTGTTGTTGCTGCTGTTGTAACAGCATGAGTTTGCCAATCTGTTCAAATGTTTCATGAAAAAAAGGGAGCGGAAAAGGATTTCTTTTAATCAACTGCTTTTTTAGCTTTTATAGAAACCAACAGAAATTCATCAATTTGTTCGAAACCAGTTACTTTAAATAATGAATAAATCACCCTAATTTCTTTATTTTAAAAAGGATAGCTTTTTGCTTTTTCGCCTCTCCAATTCTGTTATCCATTCGATCACTTATTTGCTTATAATGTCATCCTTGTTCCTTCTATCCGTAAAATTCGTTTAAAGTACACATGAATGATTTCTATTCAGTTTCATGTACGTTATGAACTTTTGTATAAATAGTACGTGAGAATTCCTTGATATATCAGTAACTGAGGTGTTATGTCAGAACTATGCTACATTATTTTTTTTTTCTAAAGACTGTAATTACCACCGATTAATTCAATTTTTTTCTATTAACCTCTCTCTCTCTTTCTGTTAACCAATAACGAGACCAATTATTATCCCAACATTGTATTTGTAGACCTTCTAGAGAGTTTAGATGAATGAAGTTGACTTCTGAGAGAAAAATCAGTGAGAATGAATTGTGATAAGAGTGATAAAATTGTTAATTGATCGAGATAGGAAGAAGTAGCCAAGTTGAACAGCTAAATATTTTGGCTTTCTCAGCATTGAGTAAATGGAAATTCCAGAATCCTGCTGGTCAGATTTTTGTTGGCCACATCTTTACAATCAAAAGATTAATTCTTACAATGCCTAATTAAGCTTTAGATTAAGCTAAATGTTGGCTGGTAAAACTCCAATAAATGCAGCTTGAAGTATGCAATAGTTTACAACAGTTTGATGAGAACAATATTATCGACGATGACAGAAATCAATGAATGAAAGTTTTTAGGTCCTACGATTCAAAAATGTTGCTGCCATTACTATCAGTAAAAAGAAAAGATGGAACCGGATCTAATCGTTGTAACTGGCGTTGGAATTAAATCAGATCTATTTAGTTTATCTTTAACAATAATGGATTATTATTGTTGTTGGCATTCGTTTAAATTATTGCCTTATACGGTTATTCCAAATTTATTTCAAATATTTTATTTTTTATTCGAAAGTTTCGTCCATTTTTACGTTTATCTACCATCAAATTCATCACTGAAGCATTCAAATTATTGAATTTTCTGCTAATTAAGCTACGAGTTAAACGACGTAGCAACCTAGAATTTATGCTTATTAAAAGTTATAATTAACAAATGACTACGACTGACCAAAATAATGACAGTTCCGCAGTTATGAATAATATTAAGCACTCTGACATTCCATATATTTTCTTAACTACTGAAAAGAATTGATATAGTCAAGACTCGTTTGGTAAAAGTAAGCAGAATAGCAAGTGAAGATTTCGAAGCAGAGAGTTCCAGAATTTCTATTTTTCGAACTTTATGAGTCATTCCGTGGCATTTTTTATTAACTGGGTCATCAAGGAAAGTTTGTGGTTCCTAATTGCTTATTGAACTTTTAAAAAACAGAAATTAAGATACAATTTCGAAATCCAATAAATCCTTACTATCACTTAACACAAAGTAAAACAATGAAGGACATTGATCATTAAGCCAATTTCGTCTTTCCCAATTCTGATTTATATGCACTCAAAGCCATTCTTCTTGAATTTCATAGCATCTTGTACTTCGTCCTTTCTCTTCATTCTGAATGAAATTGCATTTCTAAACATCGCAACAGCAAATGGATGATTGTGCGCGGAAGACAGCGACCGCTTTTACCTTCTACTTCATCCTTTTTCTTCTCTTACACTTAAGACGTATTATTAATGGCATTTAAAGTGCATTATAATGGTTTGCAACCTGACTAACACCGCCTCATCCGGACCAGGTAAAGCAGTTTTTCATTAAATTAAAGAGAGGAAAATTTCACGACAGTCATCGCTATCACTGCTTTTGCTACCAATGATGTTGTAAAATTTCCATTCTTCATTCTCCCATTCCTTTTCCGCTATCTTTCTCTTGAATTTTCAGATGAAAAGAATCAATGTTGAGTATCCGTACATCAGCAATTATTTTTTAAGCAACCAGTAGTAGTACAACCAGTACTGTTATCGTTGAATGATTTGATTTCGTTCATACACATACTCTTCTTGTGTATCAACATGTTCGTTTCCGCGATGACATTTCTTTTTTTTTTTTGAATTTTTTGAAATCTTCTGATTGTATAAAAGAAGGTGATGGAAAAAGATAGAGGAAGAGAGAGGGAAAGAGAGAAGGAGAAGTTAAAAAGAGTAGGGAGAGTGATTGCTATAATCGTTAATGGTGTAATGGCAGTGACAACAAGCTTCATTACTTTAAAAAAATTCTGGAAATGCTGTTGGTGGTTTTTTATGTTCTTATATGTTATTTGGCAAATTGTTTTGCTTGATGAAAGAGTAGATAGAATTAGTTACTTTCTTCTACTTCTACTGATGGCATGTTATTTAGATTAATTAACAGGAATGAATTCGCCCTCCCAATCAATTCTGTGTAAGATGATAAAGATCTTCTATTCAACTTTTATTAGAATGGTGAGTTTTAAATTTACTTTAAATCAATGAAAACGAAATAAATAATGCATTAGATCAAAGGTATAGGGAATGGGATGTCGGTGATCACTGTTATTTACGTCAAAGGGACAAACAGCGAGTTGGTAATATAAACTTATTTATATTTCTAATTAAATCGAAACAAGAGAAATGCCATACAATCAGCAATTGAATATCTTTTATTATAGTTAAAGTTATAACTGCATTAAATTAATTTGTCTATTTTTAATCAATCCTTTAATAAATTTTATAACATGTTGTCGTTTGACAAACTGTCATTAATTATACTTTTAATTTCATTCAATATTCTAGCTCTCTCAGGTATATACTGTGAAATATTTTGATATTTTAGAAGATTTTTTTGTATAATTTGTACTAATTTTTTTGTTTCTTTAAAATTGTCAGTTTTGCGCGAATGAAAAATTCCTTTCATCTAACCACGTTTCACCGACTTATTTTCGAATTTTAATTCGTCCATGATTCCTGATCTTTATGAAGTTTGCAGGAATTATCACAGCCATAACATAGCAATTCTGTTTCTGCAGTGTTTCATAAATAATTGACAACAGTTATAATCACTTCATTCCTGTTGTCACTTTGCTTATAGTTTATCATTTTTTATGTCATGCATTTAAAAAAAAAAAAAAAAGTTGAAAACCAGAAACTACGATTATCTTAATTCTTTCCTGATTCTCAATGAATTAGTCAAATTCAGGAAAAAAATAGCAGAATAAAAGAGTTTTTTTAATAAAGATCCTTGAAAAAGTTGAATAATTAATCAAACGAATGTTATGGCACTGTTAATGAGCTAATATTATTAAATCACTTTGAAATATTAATGATGCCATCCAAAAATTTGGAATGCATATCGCCTCATAATTTTATCGTTGTCCATATAATATCGTGAAATAAGATCACATCTCTAGAAAAATAGTTCTTATTTCAACTTTTATAGGCGATGATGATGACGGATGTGATTGGCGAGAGGAATTTCGTGATTGATATATCCACACCTGAAACTCTTGAACGAGATTTCTATGCTTGGCTTTATGTTAGTTTTTCCATTTCTCTGAAGAATTCTTCATTACTGCTTTAATTCTATTTCAGTACAATGGAAAAAACTAAAAGAATTTCATGGATAATATAACTGAAAAGAAAAATGAAACGATAATGATATGTTACTCAAAAAACTCTCAAAGTAGTTAAATAGATCGTAAAAAGTAAGCAAAGAATGAAAAAAGAGAACAGCACAGAGAGTAAAGAACAAGTAATGAAATTCAACAACAAAAAATAAAAAGTTATGGATGAAGAGGAGAATCTAAGTAATAGCAAGTAAATAACAAAATTAATTATGCAAATGAGGTGGTGGAAACGCAAAAAAAGCAAATGAAGAATAGGAATATATCTGAGCTGTTAACTTATTATTGTTGGTGTTTATCTTGAATCATTACAAGTAATTAATATTTAGAAGCATAAATGTTGCATAAAATTAAGAAATTACGTTATTCCTATTCCCATGAATGACAATGTAGATGTCTTAAAAACCACTAATAAACTAATGAATAGTTTGAAAAAGTTCAAGATTACTGAAAGTTAATAATTTGCTGCACAAACAATTACATGTAACATGCATTATATATGGATGAAAATTGCAAGTCAACAATGTTCAAGCCTTTCATCTTCTTTTTAGAATATTTACAAAGAATAAACAGGTGGAGAAATTTTTATTGAGGGTGTGGTATGAATTGCAAACAACACAATTGCTAATGTCAATTTGTCAGTCAAAAAAATTGACTCTTGCACTTCATCAGTGCTTCAGTTATCAATGAGACAGCAATTTTTGATGTCATTTGTTTTACTTCTACTGTAAATACTGTCCTGTTCTACCTTTATTCATTCCTTTTACTCTTTTCTTTTTTTTATACCATTCAAAGTGCAAAAAATAATTCGTTCCCTCGTGTCTATCATCAATTCTTATTTCATTTCAACGTTTTCTTTTTTATTTCTTTTGCAAAAATTACAAAATTTGTAGTTACGATAGCAGCATTGGTAAGCAACTATACTGTTATGTGTATAATTTGTTTGTCTTCTCTTCTTTGATTTTCCTATGTCAATTAAAATGATGAATTAATTGTGTACAATTTTTGAATGAGTAGAAATTTCAAGGAGAAGAAATAATTAACTCGAATAGCAGTAATTAGAGGAAATGATTTCACCCAAAGAAGGGAAAAAAAGCTAAAGCCTAATTGGATTCGATCTCATTTACTTCATACTCTTGGAAAAAAAAAAACAAATCAAAACATTATTCTCACTCTACTATTTGCAAAATGGAGGAGTTAGTAACTCACCGCCTTATATGAAGAAAAATTATACTAATCTATAGATTTTGTTCCACAACTCATTTATTATTTGGCAAGTTCTTATCCGTATTTTATGAGAGTGAAATGACTAATTGAAATTTTTAAATTATCATATTTTAAGATAGTAATCTAATAAAAAAATGAGAAAGTTTTCAATATCCGAAAAAATACAGATTGCTTTCAAAATGAGCTATAGCAATCTTCTTGAGATATTCGTTTAAATCGTTATCCGGTGAAGAGTATTGTTTGGAAAGACTTAAATTTTACTAATACTGGAGAATTGTTCCTTAGTTCGAATTTTCATTTCATTCCGACAGCGTGTTTTTAACGACTCAGTTCCCTTCTTTGTCTGTTAATTACTTGTTTATGGTTCTAAAATGACCTATTATGATAAAATCACTTTCGAAAGATATATTTTTTAATGAAAGAGATTCAAAAGCGAAGTGATGGAATTAGAAGTAATCTGTTAAGAATCAAAGAAACAAGTGAAGATGATTGAACAATAAAGGAGAATATTTATTTTATTTCACTTTCTTATCCTAATTTGATTTTCCGACTGAAAGTACTTCTTAAAATGCGGTCGAAGTGATTGAACGATCAATGCTGAAAAATCGCAAGAAAAGAGATATTAAGCAAGTGAACGGTGGATGTAAAAGTGAACAGCCGAATCTAAAATTATAAATAAACAATTAAATGTTAAGTAAAGTAAATAAACAAATCAGTGAAAGAAAGGAAATTAATGGAAATCAAATTAATGGATGAATTTTTAGCGCATAAGTAAAAGACAACATGATGGATAGATGCTAGGAGCGAACTGATGAACGAATACAATGAACTGTTAGACATAGTTCACCTTTGCAAATATTACCTTTCAGTGAAAAATATCCATTTTACAGGGTGAAGAAAAACAAGTGGTCGTCACTTGGAGCGTTTACCGCCAATCGACGATTTGGCATTTGGTGGCCGAGATTCATTTTTGTCACCGGATGATCTCTCTGATGGTGGTTCTTTTGCTGATAGTCCACCTTCTTCGATATCATCGGAGTCAAATGATTATCGATCATCCAGTGAGTCAGAACAACGTCGAGAATCTGTCAGTTCATGTCCTAGCCGTAGCTCAGGTATGGAAAAGTATATAAAATTTAATCTTCGCCAAATCTTTTTTTGTGCAATCTGGAAACAAAGGAGAGATTTTTGCTATAAAGAACTTTTTAGACCAAAGGTTGTGAGATAATTGAATATGGGAAATTTTAATTATCAATAATAAAAAAGTTTTGTTTGCAATCCGATAATTTCAAATTTGAAACATTACACAATAATTGTATTTTCAGGGACAAATCAGTTAGGTCGTATTTACAGTCCTGGATTACCGCTATCGATGAGTGAACGAGAACAAATTGTTAACCTCTACAAGAGTGGCTGGAAAATCTGTGATATATCAAAACGCCTATGTATTACACACAGTTGTGTATCGAAAATTTTAAATCGGTGCCTTTCCTTACTTCGAGGTGATCTGCAACCCAAGTGAAATCATGTATGAAGCCTAGCTGAGTCATTAGTAACGGAATCACTTTTAATCTTACCGCAATTTTGTAACTTTAGAAATCAATTATTATTTTGTTTTAGGAGAGTTTTTCCATTGTTCTCTTTTATAGATATAGGACGACAGGATCAGTAAAGCCAAAAGATGCTAAAGAAGGTCGAACCGAATCACCGTTAGTGACTGCCATTCGAGATTATAGAATGAGATTGGGTATGAGTCGGCAAGCGGAAATTCGAGAACAGTTGATCGCTGACGGCATTTGCAGCCGAGAAAATGCTCCGTCACGATCATCAATTAATCAGTAAGTTCATTTTCAAAAATATCTATAAACACCGCAATAAATTGTACGTTAAGTAAACATAATTGCTACAAGAATCTTAAAAATCTCCCAACACAAAGTTCTGCTGCATATTAAACCGTGATGACGGACACGATACTATTAGTATTGAGGATGAGCATTATTCTCAAAAGCAATTCTCTGCAATCGCATAGCTGTGTCGTGTATGTCACTGCATCTCCAAGGATGACGTTTTGAGACAGAAAATGTAGATGTAAGAAGCGGAAAGGTAAGATAAAGAAATGAAAACCAGTGCTTTCAGCATATTGAGGACAAAATTGGATATGAAGAAGAGGAGGAAACCCACCTAAATATCGAAGCAATCTCTCTCTCTCCCTCTCTCTCCCAAAATTGCACAAAACAAAGACATCTGTGCAAAGCAAATAATTTATAATTTTTGCGTCAGCAGGAACACGTACGTTACCGCATACCACACCTTCACATCACCTCGTCAGTAATCGTATTAAAAACTGCCTTTTTTTTAAATCTTGCCTTGACAATATCTGATACTTATTGTTACTCGTCAATTATCACTTTTATACTCTTCTGCCTTTTGTGATGCTGCCTTATTTTTCGTTTTTTTTTTAATGTTTGCGAAAACATTTTGCATGATTTTGTATTTCATCATTAGATTATGCACTTTTGAACACATTGATTTTACGCAAGGAATGATATAGTTGAAAAAACCGTTTCTAAATCATTACTATCATTAAATGTCTGACAATTCATTGTAGCAATTCCTTTCCAATTTCCAGTTTGCATTTCGTGGAAAAGATAATCAATGTATATGTGAAAGAGTCAACATGTATTCTATGTTATTTTAGAAGACAGAATTTTTGAGAAAATTTTGGTTGTTCAAAAAAAAAAAATCGTAATAATAAAACTGACATAAAATTCGGCAGGAGGTGATCAAATTTGGAAGAGATGAAAAAAACATATAGGAAATTATAACTAGTTCAAATGTTGAAATTAGTCAAAATTTTTTCGAACTACTGTGTTTAAAGCTTGTTATTAAAATGTTAACATTTATGAACTGTATTGGGTAGCACAATTTTGCGTTTATTATTGTGATACTTTTGATTGCTAATGAAAATGGATCCCAAAATTTTTTAGATTTTTATTAGCAAAAAAAGAATTAGACAGACTGTAAATATGTGTGATTAAACAAGCTGTAGACACATCGATTTATGGTCCAGCACGCAAATTTCTGCATACTAAAACTTCTAGAACTATCATATTTCAAAGGGATGCCATTATTCTCATTCCTATATTTTTGAAGTTATAATAAATTTGTATGTTTGATCTCGGCTCTTCACTGTTTTATATTTGTCAGTACCTTTTCACTCCAAACTGCGGCCTTTTTCAATTCTTAATTATTAAAGTTTGTCGTGAAAATCTAAAGGACTTCAATTATTTCATATCATGATTAAGACTGAAATGAAGACGTCTTGCCTTAATGCAATTAATGGTATAAGAAACAGAGAAACTTGATTATCCAACAGGATTTAGCATTTCCGTGAAGCATGAAGAAATTATTTGGAATCAGTACTCACAGAAACGCACAAAATGGGTTATCGATGCAGATGATCCACATATAACTTTTCTTTTTCGAATATACGGAAGTCAATTTTGAGTAATATCAAAATTTCCCATCAGAATTTATTTTTATATATGATTTTCACTTTTCATACTATCATTGTTAGTTGATATCATTCAAAGAAATAATTCGATTGTGCTGTTTTTCTATTCTTAGTTTGCATTACTCTCTATATGTTAACAAATAAAAGTGTGATGGAAAATATCGATTGAATATTGCACGAAACTTTCTTTGGTATTAACACTGGTGATAAGAATGATCACTATATTATGTTAAATAGATAGTAAATATTTATATTAAACAGATAGTAATCACTCTTATCAGGGCAGGAACAGTTTAGCAAGAAATTTCGCCGGTATTAAGCAAAATTCGACCTTGGAACATCCCGTAATTGCAATCTTCCTGCTGGAGAAAGACAAACATGACCGAAGATCCGGAACACTTTCAACCTAACAGTGGAAAAACTGCAACTAAATTGGCTGAAAGCATTACCGTGAAACGATGCAAACGAGGAAACTGCCAGGAGCCTCTAAATTAATGGAGCCTTCTATTCGTTTGTCTGTTCTCTGTTCAGAAATGAGTCGGAATGAACCTTTTGTACTCGGAAAATTTTGATCCTGAGAATTTCTGAACACTTTCTGTCTGCAAACAAATGAATAATGAAAAAGAGACATTCACATTGTATTGGCCAGCCTCATTACTTTACTATCACCAATAATTACAAAGACTCGGTCCTACCACGAAACCCTGTCATTTTAAATTTAAAATTGCTTGTTAGAAGAGTGTGTGGTGCTCATTGTTTGTGGTTTTTTTTCGGGGGATTTTACGGAGTTGGGGGAGGGAGGGTTTGACTTATTTCCATTCAATATCCAGGGAAAGGTTGACAGCGTTCCGTCTCACCATCCTAGAAATGAAATGCTTCTATGAGACATTGCCTGAAGCTTGAATCGTTGACTGAGCGTTTTGCGCTACAGAGGCTTGTTATTGGTCGACGTTCTTATATCTTTCCAGTCGTTTGGTAGATTGTAATTTTCCAAAAACAAAAGAAAAATGCAAGATGAAAAGGAAGTGACGTTTTTTTTATCAGTCTGAATTCAGCAAAGTTGTCATTTGCAGAAATATTGGAGGAGTGGGTGGTCAGCTTTCTTACTTGCTTCGAATTTACTAAAGTGAACGATCGTCAATGGATGGCGAGGGAAGTGTACTTAGTTCGGAGGTCGCCGCAAGTCTTCTCAGTTTGGAAGTAACAGAAAATTTCACTACCGATAGTAAGTTGTTGATTATTAAAATTGATTATTAAAATCTTGAAGAAGTAAACTTTTATGACTGGAATTCAAATCGCTTCTAGGAAATAGCATTCAAAATAAGTTTAAAATTTCTTTTAATATGAGTTGCGATCTCCAATATGACATATATAAGCGAAGCCTAAATAAACAAATAAATGAATCAGTAAAATCAGTAACCGCATCAACAAAATGATTGCATAATGAAACAAGCAATGAGTAAATGTGCAAATCATTCTGAATACTTGGAAGGACTCCCAAATGCTCTTGTTCGTCGCTAGATATCGCTATAAATTATTATCTATCTTACATCACTGAATTGTGACCTTACATTGTTTCATATTGACAGGCTAAGACTAAGAAGCATGTAGCAAATAAATTAGCAATACACTCATTGGTAGCTTTATCAAAGGACATATTGTGATTTTTATTTATAAGGCTCATATGTATACATATATATATACATATATACATATATATATGCATATCACTGTGGCAACATGGATGCCGTAGTTGTTCATTAAATAATCAGATGCTCTAATAACTGCTATATTTTTGAAATTTTTCTAAGAAAGTAAGAAGAACCAAGGAGAAGTCTTTACAGGAGAAAACTCAGTTGCTCGGTCAGCGTCGCAAATTAGAAGGGTGAATCGAGTTTGCGTTGTGGGAGTTGCTAGAAATAATGCAGAAGTTACAGATTTATTGAAGGTGATAGAAACCACTCACTTTGCCACTTGAATACTACTTCCACTTTGCTATCTTGCTTTTTAGAATGAATGTTTTGTAATAGTTTCATTTGATTTTGTTTTGCTCTATTGTTTATATATTTCGAATTGATGCTCTGCTGTTTTACCTAATCTCACGATCGTTTATAGAATCACTTCGGTATCGAGCTGCTAGAAAGTGAAGATGGCTATGAATTTACAAAAGATGCTGACATCACGTTCTTGTGCAGTGAATTCATTGATTGTCGTTGGTTTAAATATCTCAATTCCTGTCAGAAATTAATTATTGGCCCAGCAATCATCAGAAAACGTGCCATAGACGGCAAAGTACTATCAATTAATTGCTTGACTGATAATCATTTTATTAAAATTCTGCTCGTTTTTCAAGGACTTACTTTATTTATTTATTTTTTAGGAGCGATTATTTGATAAATAAGACAAGCAGATAGCATCTGTCTAAATTTTCTTCGCTTTTGAAAATATAGGAAGTTAACAGTAATAAATATTTCAAGGAGGTTTCATGTGCCGTTTGATGGATTCAGCATTTATCCAATAAGTGAATAGGTTCACATCGTCCATGATTTTCCCTTATTTCTTTGTACATAAATGGTGCCATATTTCAGCCCTTGTTGGTACCTCGTCCAAACCGTCCACTTTACACGGATAGTATGTCCGGTGTGCGAATTGCTTTATCGGGACTTTCTACCAAAAATTGTCGAGAAGCTGTCGATCTCGTACATTTCATGGGCGGTAGTGCCCAGCGAGTATTTTCTGCTTCTACCACCCATTTAATCACTGATGCTGCTAGAGGCAAAACATATAGGGTATTTTTTCGCAAATTTCAGTGACTTGACATTTGAAGTTTTTTTAAATAGGCGAAACTAAATGCTTCCATAATGTGTAGCTGAATAAAAATGACGCTTTTTTAAGAACTTAGTAATTAAAACATCAAGGTATTTCATTACAGATGGCGGTGTCAATTGGATGTCGCGTAATGCATTTAGATTGGTTGCGAGCTGCATGGGCTGCCAGGGATTCTATTCAAATCCCTGTCACTACCATTGATTTTGTTCGTTGATTTGTTTATATCTTTTTCTTCATTCAGGAGCATTCGTCCATTTTCGTTCATTTCATTTAGAAGCTGATGGAAGGTATATTTGGATTTTTTGTATGTTTTTAGAAATTTCGAACTTTTGCAGATGAATCAATACATGGTTGAACCATTTTGCGGATTATCATTATGGTTCGTTGCTTACGACGAGAAGGATCTATCCGAAATGAAGGAGAAAACCGTGGAAAATAGTATGTTTTTCGTTTTTCAAATAGTATGTTTTTTTTCGGTTGAACTGAAGTTATCTTTATTTCATTTTCACAGTTTTTTACAGGAATGTCAGAAGTTTCTAGATTGGAGCACTTGTTACGTGTTATGTACTACGCTTGTATTTTATTTTTGTTATTTAGAATCCCATAACTTACAAAAAAAGTAAATTGTAAAAAAATCCCAGTTATCTGAAGCAATCAAAAACGGAAGCGAAATGGAAGATTTGCTGATCAATTACATGCTTCAAGTGTGTTCATGTGAGAGATTTGAGCAAGTATTTTTGAATCTCCCGTAGACGTTGCAAAATGTTCTCAGAATTTCTTTTTTTTCCATACTTGTTTTTTAGAGGGAAAAGTAGCTGTAAATCAGAAGCAAGCAACTCACATCGTAGTTTCTACATCGTTGGATGCTAAAGTTGAAGGATGTGATGCAAAGCAGCATTTAGTTTCCGGAGAAGTTTGTCTTCAAAATTCATTTTGATTTATTATAAGTGTGAAAGATTGTTATGATTATTGTTATTTATT